CCCTCCCTCCCTCTCTCTCTGAAAAGCAATGGGAAAAATATCCTCAGGTGAGGATTAAAAAAAGAAGAAGAAGAATACCTTTATCTTCTGGTCGCTGGGTTATCCCATAGTAGTTAAATGAGAAGTATTTTTGTTGACTTCCTAGATATGTCTACAATATTATATTTTATGTTTATTTTCAGATTTAATATTAAATGCCAAATTACATCTGTGATCAATAAGCTAAAAGAATCTATTATACATATGAAACTAATATACAAAGATGACATTAGATTTTTATTTGCAAAATGACCAAATCAATGTGATATAATATTATAATATAAAAATATTTAGTCTCATAATTTGTGCTATCTTTAATTCTTATTTCACATAGGAGTCAGTGACTGATGACTTCCAGGTTGACAGTAGTTCATCAACTGGTGAACTTGTATCAGGTAAGACTGTCAGATGTGAACTCCCTCTGTTTTCTTTCTTATAAGCATAAACATCCACTTGTATTTGTGTCATCTTCCCATCTTAATGAAAGAGGTGTATTTCTCAGTAGTCCAAGGTGAATCCTTCAGCCTGGGCTCTGGCCCTCATCCTCTCACAGACCAGTAAATTTCAATTCTGATAATTGCTACAAAAGAGAGATTGACTTTAGTGTAACTAATTGAGTTTTATAGTTGGCGAGATTAGGGAGGGCTTGCATGAGGGAAAAGCAATTTAACTGAGATCTGAAGAAGAGTAGAAATTAACTATGTAAAGAGATGAGTAAAGAGCAGTCCAGGTAGAGGGAATAGCATGTGCAAAGACCCTAGCATGGGACCGAGCATTATGTGTTCAGTGAACTAAAAGAAGGCCAGTGTGGCTCCCGTACAGAGAAAGAGGAAGAAATGTGATAATGAGGCAAGGTTGGACAGACAGAGGCCTTGCAGGCCATGTCAGACCTATTGGTGTTTATCTTCGGAGCATCAGGAAGCCAGTGAAGTCTTTTAAATAGAGATTGATATGATCACTTTAGCTACACTATGGAAAGAAGTGGATGTAAATAGATTAGTNTGATAATGAGGCAAGGTTGGACAGACAGAGGCCTTGCAGGCCATGTCAGACCTATTGGTGTTTATCTTCGGAGCATCAGGAAGCCAGTGAAGTCTTTTAAATAGAGATTGATATGATCACTTTAGCTACACTATGGAAAGAAGTGGATGTAAATAGGAGGCTATTGCAGTATTTTAGGGGAGAAACCTTGGCACTTTGTACTAAGAGATGACGGTGGAAGTGAAAGAGGATGTTGGCCTATTTGATGGCTAGTTTAGGAAGTGAAATTGACAGAATTTGGCAAGTGAAGAGTGAAGGAGATGGAATTATCAAAGATGACACCTGTTTCTGGCTTGGATAACTGGGTCTATAAAGTGGTACCATTCACTGAAAAAATCTTGTTTGAGGGAAACATCATAAGTCTCATTTTTAATATATTAAGTTATGAGTGCCTTTAAGATGACTAAGTAGCAGTGTCAAATAGGCAGTTGGATATGGAGGGCTGCTGGTGAGCCACATACATATTGGTGTAATTGAAGTTATTTTTGAAAACAAGAAAGGATATCATCAGCACAACAGAAATACTGAGGAATTCTTAAAAGCAGATGAGATCAGATTAATGAATACATGAAGAGCAGAGAAAGAACTCCTGCAGAGGTAAGAATAGTTCTAGAGGTACTCGAAATGTTTGGCCAACAAATGCAAAAAAAAGCAATGATAGAAGGGACCTTACAGGAAGTGTCAAGGTGATGGACTATATTCTGCATTACATGGCCTGGCCTCCTCTCCTCATTCCCTTCTTATATAAAAAAACTGGCAGCTACAGTACCTGCTGCCAGGATAAAACCCAGGGAACTACTCCCAAGCAAAGTGAACTAAGTGGTTGGCTCCCAAGAGTTAGTGTTGGGGCTGGCATGAGAAGCAGAGGAGAGTCTGAAGTAACTCCAGATTGCTGCAAGGATAGCAGAGGGAGAAAAAAATAAAGATAGATAATGCTTAATAACCCCAGGATAAAAATACCGCATGGCTCTCTGGAATGGGAATTCTGATACCAGAGACTTCCACTGTGGACACTAGCCAGATAATTAGGGCAGTGCCCCTGTGCAACCTACAATACCCAGAAAATACAGGGGGATATCCCTGTATTTTCCCAGACTAAAAAATAACAAATTTAAAAACTCAATAAATGAGCCTACTATTGAATGAATTCAGCTGAAAATCAAATTAACGAGTTAGAAGATAGGGTGGAGGAATATTTCCTAGATTATAGTGCAGAAGAACATGGGAGATGCTCAACGAATACTTTTTTCTCCTCTCTTCTTTGCCTGGTTAATGTCTACTGTTCTTCAAAAATAAATTCAGGTCCCATCTCTTCTGCTAAGCCTCTCTTGGCCACTCCTCTCTTTCTACATTAACTGTTCTATTCTGGTAGGTCTGTGGTACTCTTTGTCATAGGACTCAAACAGTAGTGTGATTGTTTTTGTTACTCTTCGCTCTAAAGCCATTGAGAATAATTGCTACCTTTCATCTTCCTGTCTCATGCTTGGGACATAATATAGTTTCAGATGCTAATTGAATGAGTTTTATACTCTATTTAGAGAAAAACCATTTACACCATAGTAATTATTTTCTAAAATTATAGTTTAAGTATATGATAAATGTCCTTGGTTGCTAGCTTGATCAAGTTGATGTATGAAAAGTATAAGGAAATAGAAAATAGACTAATTAATTAACTGGTTGTATTTCTAAGAGTTTATTTGTTGATAGTTACAACCTGGAATGTTTTTTCTAATAAAATGTGAATGGTTAGGTTTTGAGCAGCCCACATAATTCTATTCAACATGTTGTTTTAATTCTATCTTGGAATCTATTAACTTTGAAATATGATGAAAATTAATTCAGGACTTTAATGTGGAAGACTGAACATGTAATTCTCCATACTGAAACCTTACTTAAGTGTCAATAAAGGCATAAAGAAGGCATGAAACCACAAGGTGGAGAAGAGAGACCTCAGCTGACAATAGATAATCCACAAGTTTGGAATCTGGGAAGCAGATGAATAAATTATAATTGGCCTAACAGACCAAAAAAAAAAAAATGCTGGGGGAAAAAGGATGCCTAGACTAAGAACAAACCAAGAATCAGACTGACTTAGGCTGTAGGTTTAGGAATTGGAGGCATCCCATATTCCTGAAGGAATGGGTATAGATAGTGTTGAAAAAAGGAGAACTTTTTTTTGTAAGTCTTTAAAAGTAGCAGTTAGATGCTTTGATCCCTTCTCCAGCACTGTGTGGCTAGGCAACTACTCTTTCCTACTGTGGCAGTACAGCGATATTGAAGCAGAGGGTCTGGACTCAGGAATGCTAGGTATTGCTCAGGGCAGGGGTGCTATATTGAAGACTCACAGTGGAGGAGGAGGGAGGGAAGGGAATTAGTAAACTCTGTATACTTGGTAGTAAATCCCCCAGGCACCCTGTCCTACTTAGGAAAGTACACCCAAACTAGGAGAATGGAGAATTTCTGTTTTGGAAACTTCTCTGCCCGGGAGAAGACCTATATTCTGACGGTAATGATTTGGTCTCTGTCTAAATATCCTTCAGTAATGCTCACTAATTCCTAAACTCCACTCATGAATTCAGTTTCCAACTGATATTTTAGTGCCTCAGTCTTGAACATTAAGAATTAATGTTCTTGAATATTTAAAGAAAGACTCAAATAAAGAGATAAGAAATACAGAGAAACTTGAGGGACACAGACAATGCAGAGAAAATTTTTAAAAGCCGTAGTTTTATTATTATTCTCTGGATGATGAAAAATGACTATGAAATAGGTGCTAGCTGGTATAAAAAGGAATATTCAGAAAACAAAAAAGAATTCTTTAAATATATGAAATCANATGAAAAATGACTATGAAACAGGTGCTAGCTGGTATAAAAAGGAATATTCAGAAAACAAAAAAGAATTCTTTAAAAATATGAAATCAGAAAAAAAATATTCTGTAAAGGATTAGATGATAAATTTAAGGAAATATTCTAAAAGTTGAACAAAAAGAAAATAAAAGATGAAAATAGTGGCATTGGAGACACAACTGTGAGTATACTAAAAACCACCAAATTGTACACTTTATTTTTTAAAATATATCTTTATTGATTTCAGAGAGGAAGGGAGAAGGAGAGAGAGATAGAAACATCAATGATGAGAGAGTCATTGATCAGCTGCCTCCTGCACACCCCCTACTGGGGATCAAGCCCGAAACCTGGGCATGTGCCCTGACTGGGAATTGAACCTTGATCTCCTGGATTCTAGGTCGATGCTTAACTGCTGAGCCATGCCTACTGGGCCCAAGTCGTACACTTTAAAAGGTTGAGGCTTATGGAATATTGTATTTCAATAAAGCTGCTATTTAAAAAAGAAAAATAATTAGAAGATGAGTCTAGGCATTCTAGCATCTTGAAAAATAGTAGTTCCAGACATTGTAAGAAGAAAGGAAATTATTAAACACACAAAAATAGAAATGTTTTTAGAATTAAAAATGGTCATGGGTGTATATCCTGAAAAAAACTCACCAACTGCCCATTGCAATGAATGAAGAAAGATGCACACCAAAGCAAACATTATGTAATTTAAAAATCCTCAGGACAGCCCATCCTGGCGTGGCTCAGCAGTTGAGCATCAACCTGTGATGCAGGAGTCAAGACTCTCTGAAGTCAATAAAGATATATTAAAAAAAAAAAATGAATGGCATTGAACTTCTCAAGAGCAACTCCAGAAGCTAGAATATGGTGCACAAATGCACTTAAAATTCTAAAGAGAACTTACAGAGACTGAATGGGTCCCCCCACCCAAAATTTGGTTCAGACTGCTGATGTCACCCACATACCAAGAGGGAATGGAAAAGTTTATTACTCATATAATGAGGCTTTTTGGGGAAGAGGGCATCTCCTGAGTAGGACTGAAAATAGCTTGAGAAAGCAGGGAAAAGAGACTGGGTTGGGGTTTTTATGTGGTTAGAGGATGGGCCTGGAATGAGTTTTCCCGTGCATGGTTTTAATTTGCTGCCAACATCAAAAGATGGAGCACCAGGACTTTCATATCAGCTTGCCCAGATGTGGAGTAGAAGAGGAAGAGGGAGCAGTGAGGTTTAAACTGTCAAACTTCAAACAATGGAATCAGTCTTTTTAATATATTAGTCTAGAATTCTGTACCCAGCCAAACACTCAAGTGTGAAGGTAGTGTAAAGAAAATTTTAGACACATGCTCTAACAAAACCATAGAATAAATCGATAAAGAAGAAGTCATGGATCCAGAAATCAGAGTTCCTAATACAGGAAATATGTGAAAGAATTTCTTTGGATAATAATAAAGGAAAATTCCAAGAAGACACCTGTGCAGCATGTCTAGAGGTCAGCCAGTCCAAATTTGAGCAAGTATATTGTGATCTCCAACTACAATACTTCTTTAAAAAAAAAAATGGAAAGAGGAGGAAAAGGAGAAAGGGAGGCAGGAAGAATGGAAAGAAAAGAAAGAAAAAGGAACTAATAGGTAATCTGGGGTTTTTAAAGTATTGAGGGGAAATTCACACTTTGGCAAGAAAGCTGGGATGAAATAGTGATAGGTACTTAGAAAACTGATTTAAAAATTAGCTAATCAACTCCAAGAAAAAAACAAAAACATATCAAAAGGTGATGAATATAGCTCATAGTACATGGTTCACATGTAAATATATATGAGTAGTCATAATAATAGAATTGTTGAATACATTTAATTTAGAAATAGATACCCTTAAAAGAAACAGTTAATAGAGTTAAAAGTAATTGTCTGATTTAGACAGTAGGGAATTATGATGAGGTATAAGACAAGAGACTGTAGCTTTTTTTATACATATTATAGAACCATATGACTTTAAAACTGTGTAGTATAATTTAACATAAATGTAATTTTAAATGCATTTACATTTCTAACTTGTGACACCAGAAACAGCCTCCAACTGATATAGTCATGAACATTTATTTATTCTTTACTCAACAATCCAGATGGTGAGTATGGGGCTTTCCTAATTTGAACCTGGTTAAGTTCTGGGGTTTGATGAAAGGGATAGCTCTCCTGTGAGTGGTATTCATGGAAGTTTGAGAGGTGAAAGGCAAGACACATGTAACAACATGTGGGTGGAAAAGATGAAAGAGTAAAAAGTAGCAAGGACAGGGACAGGACACTCTAGGGTGGGCACTTGGAGTAGGGGAAACACAAGATACTCAGACGAATAACCTACCTCTGACATCTGAGTAGGTGAAGAAGTATGGTAGATTGGGTAAATTTAAGTGTTGCAGTGGTAGCAGGAGGAAGTAGCCAGGTAGGAAACAATTGTCAGCTTTAAGGAGAGGGTTGGAGTGAAAGGAAAGGTGTGATAAGTTCAAAATAGGAAGGACAGAGTTAGTTCTCTTAGGTAGTGGATGAACAGAGATAGGCATAAGTTAGCTCCAGGTCAGGGGATAATATGTTTTCAGAGCAATGCTCCCCTTTAATCCCTTAATCGCCTGCCCACCAATTTCTATTAGTGTTGAACTCTATTTTGTCATTAGGAAGTGTTTAATAAATGTTGACTATTGCAGACTTTCCCTTTTCTTACTAAACCTTCTGGTTCTTAACTTTTAGTACTAAGTTCTATCACAATAATTTATTTGGAAAATTCTTTATTTTAGTCCACTCTCACAAGGATAACTTTAAGACCTCTGAGTCTGGGAGCTTCTGTGTTAAAACATTTTACCCATTTTCTTATTGAGATTTTCTTCCCTTATTGAGTTTTCAGAGTTCTTTATATTCTGGATTCCACTGCATATGCAAATATTTTCTCTTAATCTGTGGCTTGTTTTTTCATCTTAACAGTCTCTTCTGAAGAGAAAATTTTAAATTTGATGAAGTCCAGTTTATCATTGCAATTGTTTTAATGACTCATCGTTTTATTGTTATATCGAAGAAATCTAACCCAGTATCATGAAGATTTTCTCCTTTTTTTTTCTGGAAGTTTTGTTACTTTAGGATTTATATTTACATCTGTGGTCCATTTACAGTTAATTTTTTTATATGATTGAAGGTATGAGTGCAAATTTCTTGTTTTGTTTTGCTTTTCCATATGGATATTCAGTTGTTCAGGCATAATTTTTTAAAAAAAGAATATTCTTTTCCACTGAATTGCCTTTGCATCTTGGTCAAAAATCAGTTGCTCATATATGTGTGAGTCTATCTCTGGGCTGTCTGTTCAATTCCTTTGATCTGTCTATGTTTAGGCACATTGTTTTCTAAATGGAATGATTAGAATCACCCTTCTCTTCAGCTAGTTAATGGGTAACTTGTATATAAAACTTAGATTTTTTGAGTCAAGAATTATAACTAGGACCCTAGCCGGTTTTGCTTAGTGGTTAGCACGTCGGCCTGCAGACTGAAGGGTCCCAGTTTCGATTTTGCCAAGGGCACATACCTTGGTTGTAGACTCGATCCCTGGCCCCAGTCCGTGCACGTGCAAGAGGCAACCAATATACGTGTCTCTCTCACATTGATTATTTCTCTCTCCCCCACTTCCACTCTCTCTGAAAAACAATGGAGAAAATATCCTTGGGTGAGGATTAAAAAAAAGAATTATAACTGAACCAAAGTAGGGAAGGAATAAACTATAAATCTTTGAAAAACAGTGGAAAAGGATTATAATGCATTTTCTGTACATCAAAAACATTTTCTAAGGTGAAATTGGCTTATCAATAGTATGTTTTTTCAGTTGTATGTGGAAATAATTTTACATTCTTTTTTTTTAAAAATATATCTTTATTGACTCAGAGATATGAAGGGAGANAGTATGTTTTTTCAGTTGTATGTGGAAATAATTTTACATTCTTTTTTTTTTAAAATATATCTTTATTGACTCAGAGATATGAAGGGAGAGGGGGAGAGAGAGTTGAAACATTAATGATGAGAGAGTCATTGATCGGCTGCCTCCTGCATGCCCCCCACTGGGATTGAGCCTGCAACCTGGGCATGTGCCCTGACCAGGAATCGAACCTCGATCTCCTGGATCCTAGGTCAGTGCTCAACTACTGAGCCACGCCCAGCTGGGCTAATTTTACATTGTTAACATACAGATGCATGTACATTTCTACAAATTTGAATTCTTAGAATTTTGAGTCTGTTGACTATTTAAACATTTTACACTTTTTGTTTGTTTATTCAACAGGACTAAGTTCGCAGCATGACATTTCTAGTTCCCTTCTGAGCTATTCAATCACAGATTCTTATACAGAATGCAAGAGTTTTGAAGAGAATGCAAGTAGCTTCCCATCACCTGAACTCTTCAGAGGACCAGATTATGTAGGTGAGAAAATAATTTAAATCTTAAGTTGTTCCACTATAGAAATTGTTCCTTTGTCTACAGTCTTCCAGTGAATAATGATCTTTTTGAGAAGGTGTACTTGTGTTCCTCATCAAAACCTCTTTTTCACCCTTTGGCTCTGGAGTTGGCCGTGTGATTTGCAATAGGCTATTAGTGAATAAAACATATGCAAACCTTTGAAATATGCTTAAATGGTTGGGCTTGTCCTCTTACACTTTTGCTATCAAGAGAAGAATATATTCTAATTAGCTGTGCCTCTTCTGTGAGACCCCTGAAAGACAGGTACAGAGCAGAACAGCCCAGGCAACCTGCAGAGTGCAGAGGGCTGCCCAGTTGATCAGCATACCTGTAATGTGAAGCAGAGCTACCTGAACCAACCAGCAGACATAGGAATAATTAATAAATGCTTTTATTTTCTGCCACTGAGAATTGGGGGGTTATTTATTATACAGAAAAAGCCAACTTCTTCAGATACTGTATTGAACACAGAGAGGGGGAATTTAAATGAAACTGTACATTCTAAATTGTGGGTCCTGCTCACCTAGTGCCTAATCCCATTACAGTTGAACAGCTCATTTCTCTGCTCAGTTTCCAGAATACTAGCACCCAGACTTGAACTTTCCAGACAGGAAAATGGAAGACACTTTCCTGAGAAATCTGGGCAACCCTAAAGAAAATACCTAAAGATAGCAACTATAGTCCTTTGATAAAACTGAGAAGAACATCCTACAGTGAAGCCAACTACATGAGAAGCCACAAGTAGGCCATAGAGAGTCCACTTAGGCTTTTAAGGGCTCCCTCTTAAATATCAGCAGAGATCCAAGGATCACCAGACTTCTGAGGAAAGCCTCTAACATAACACAAAGAGATAAAAACAAAGTAAAATATGGGCGTGATGTCAGAAAGGTGTTGAAATAGGAAGCCCTTCCCTCATAGACACACCAGTTCAATAGCAATACATGGACTAATTCTGTTTGTGAAAAATCTAGAAACTAGTTTAGGGGCTTAACCCCAGAAAAGCATGAAACCAGCTACATCAAAGCAAGGAGGAAAATTCAATACACCCTCTCACCATAAACCCCACCTTCAGCATGGTGCCATATAATTGGCATGAAATCCCCACCTCCCAGCTTCTCCCTGGGGAAGGAAGGAAAGGACTGAACCATGCATCAAACATTCTAAATTTTCTGGGAGCTACCCAAAGGATTGGATACTGTCTTGCCTGTTCCAGAGTGCTGATGAGACCTGACATACTGTAGAAGCCTGATGGGTGCTGAGAACAAAGATAGTGGTTTGATCTGACATACAAGTATTCACTAGAGTCCAGCTTCTCTCTGGGAAGAGAAGGAGTTGGTGGCTACCCAAGGAAATGGCTTCTATCTCAGAGCACTGATGGGACCTGGTATACTGTAGGCACCTGGTGGCTACTAAGGACAAAGATGGTGGTTTTGACTAGGGAAAAGGTTTGAGAGGATCTCAGAATTTCTGGTTGGGCTGATTGGTGAGAGTCTTCTGTTTGAGGCTAGTCATGAAGACTGTGAGAGATGACTGTTTTTCCTAATGTGCAGATATCAACACAAAGAATCAAAGAAAAATAGGAAACAAAGAAACATGATCCAGAGAAAGGAATAAGATAAAGCTCCAGAAACTGATCATGATTAAATGGAGATATGTAAATTACCTGACAGAGAATTCGAAATAATCATCATAAAGATGTTCAGTGAGCTTAGGAGAACAATGCATGAAAGAAATAATAATTCCAAGAAAGGCATAGAAAACTTTTAAAAAGTGAACAGAAATCTTAGAGCTAAGGAATATAATAAATGAATTGAAAAATCTAATAAGGGATTCAACAGCAGACTGGATCAAGCAGAAGAAAGAATGAACTCAATTAATGAACTCAAGGAAAGCTTAAGAGACTTAAGTAAAATCAAACAGATCAAAATATTTATTCCAGAGGGAAAAGAGAGAATGAGAATGAGAGAAAATGGGGAGGGAAAGGGAAGTTTATTCATAGAAACAGTGGCTAAAAAACTACAAGTCTGGGGAAGGAAATATACATTCAGGCCTAGGGAGCCCAAAGAACCTCGATTAAGATGAACCCAAAAAATCTACACTGGAACACACAATCAAATTGTTGAAGTCAAAGAGAAGTTTAAAAGCAGCAATAGAGAAGTGACATGGGAACCCCATGAGACTTATCATTATATTTCTCAGCAGAAACCTTGCAGGCCAGAAGGTAGTGAAATGATATAGTCGAGATGCAGAAAGAAAACACTCTCACCCAAGAATACTGTAGCTAGCAAAACTATCCTTTAAAACACACCGAAGTGATAAGGACCTCCCCAGACAAACAGAAGCTGAAGGCCTGAGTGGTGGTGGATGCAGGGTGGAGGGAGTCAATGGGGGGGAAAAGGGTGACATTTAAAATATTGTCAACAATAAAGATTAAAATAAATAAATAAAAATTTTAAAAGTCCCTTGCACACTTCAAAAAGTAAAAAATATTTTTGCTACAATAAACTTAAACATTTTCATGTAAAAAAAAAAATGCTGCCCTGGCCGGTGTGGCTAAGTGGTTAGAGCATTGGTCCATGCACCAAAGGGTTGAGGGTTCGATTCCCAGTTGAGGGCATGTGCCCGGGTTGTGGGTTCACTCCCTGCCCCCCATTGGGGTGCATGCAGGAGGCAACCAGTAGGCAACCACTTGATGTGTCTCTCTCACATCGATGTTTCTCTCTGTCTCTCTCTCCCTCTCCCTCCCTCTCCTTCTCTCTTTCCTTCTCCCTCTCCTCTACTCTTTCTGAAAAGCAATGGAAAAAGTATCCTCCAGTGAGGATTAACAACAACAAAAAGCTGAAGGGGTTAATCATTAAAAAATATATATATATATCTTTATTGATTTCAGAGAGAGGAAGGGAGAAGAGGAGAGAGAGAGGAACATAAATGATGAGAGAGTCATCATTGATTGGCTGCCTCCTGCATGCCCCCGACTGGGGATCGAACCAAACTCACAACCGTAGCATGCGCCCTGACCGGGAATCAAACCTCAATCTCCTGGATCCTAGGTCTATGCTCAACCACTGAGCCATGCCTCACAGGGAAATCATCATTTCTTGACATGCCTGATAAGAAATGCTAAAGGGTCCCAGCTGGTTTTACTCAGTGGTTGGAGTATTGGCCCATGCCCCAAAGAGTCACAGATTCAATTCCCATTCAAGGGCACATACCTAGGTTGCAGGTTCAGTCCCTACCCTGGTTGGGGCATGTGCGGGAAGCAATCAGTCAATATGCCTTTCTCACATCAATGT